CCAGTGTCCCACGCCCTGTCCATTGTCGAGCGTGGCTCTCAAGTTCCTTTTCAGGTTGTCGATCCTTACAAGGAAGCACTGACATGAAGACATGAAGCCTCCATTTAAACCGAAATCTTCCTGCAACGCGAAAACAGGAAAATCGTGCAAACCAAAATCTTTGTTATTGCTGATGATTACCTAAAGAAGAACATGCTTGCAAAAGTATGCCTTAAAGCTTTACACAAAACGAGCCTTTACCGCCTTCCCCCTGCCTTTTCCATTTCCCATTCTAGCAGCAAGGATCCATCTTCCGGAAAAGTTTTCCTGAAGAACGTACATGCAAACAAAAGCCACATGTGGGAATCTTAGGTTACAGGACGGCCAGAATCTGGTAAACCAGCATACGAAGTTAACCTCAGTCCAATATCAAAGAATCCTTCCTCTGCTTTTCTTCTAAGGTGAAGTCCAGTTTTTTTAACATGCGTTGCTCGTTTTGGAGGCTCTGGCTGTCCTGAAATCGTTTTGTTTTTTTAATGGTTCGTGTCGTTGTTTGTTCTTTGTGGAAAGCTCATTTGCTAAGAGACATCCTCTGTTCAGGAGACACACAAGAGAGTGTCAAAGTAGGTCGTTCTTCAGGTTTCTTGCTCCCCAACCTCACAGTGGGGTTGTCATGTTCGCCTGGCCCTCCACGCCGCACCTACAACAAAGTATCTAACCGCCGAGTATCCCCTAAGTATCTTCCCTGCAGTGACCGCAGACAATCCCATGACTGCCACAGTGCTCAACCCCAGCCTGCAGAGTATCCCTGCAGTGCCCAGCCACAGACTTTCCCTGCAATGACCATGAGGTATCCCTCCAGTGCACAACCCACGCAGAGCATTGCAGCGTATTACGCCAGTTTTCTCCAATCGGCAATCCATATCCTTTGTCTGTAACTGTCCTCTGTGCCTCCCTTAGCCCACATGCGGACATCCGCAAGAAACATGCCTCTTCTATCCATGAATTGACGTGTCCCTCCTGTCACCTCTCTTTTATTCTCTGCCGCCCTTTGTCTCGGAGAGGCCAGGAGGTGACAGAGACATTTCTCATGTACATTATAGTATAATATGGTTAATATGGCATAAAGTATGGTATATTATGGTATATTCAAGTATCGTATAGTATATTATAGTATATTATATGGTCTGGGGAAATAGGAATCGTGCGAGGATGAGATGCACGAGCATGCAAAGATCACAAAGCAAGAGAGACGCGCGCAATAGGATGGAGTAAAGATGAACGTCATTTTTCTGATCAGCCTTTTCTGGACAGAAATGAACAACCAGGCATGACCGTTGCTTTTGTGTTTACATGTTTTGAGGGGGATGCTCAGGTCAATGAGACATGCGCAGACACCCGAACATGAAACGTCGTGAATGTCTAAACTTCATGTTCACAGTTGCAGAAGTTTGTCGTTCTGCCATCCCCATCTCCTAATTGTCTGATCTTGTTGTTCACATGGACATCCCCGCTTCAATCTTTTGATCCCTTTATGTGTTTGAAGCGTAAAGGAGATAGATTTAAGATCTGGTAGTCGGCCTGTATTCATTGCAACAAGTGGTGCAGAGAGAGTGGGCAGGTCTATGTGGCCCTTGATGTAACGATGGTGTTAGTGGATGTTGGAGACGGACAAGCACTAGAGTCACTAGAGGACATCTATTTAAAGCAGTTCGAAAGAGAATGCAAGGAATTTGATCCATAACGTTCGATCCTGAGATTCTGCTGAGGCAACCGTTGAGCATCCATGAGCCTTTTTCCTCTCTCGCATTGTGTGGAATGTCTTGCTCATTTATCTCTACATATTCCGCTTGATGTCTTGTTGTCTGTGTGTCTCTTTTTGTGACGTTGCTGGCTGTGATCACCATCTATTTCTCAAGCGCAGTAACAAAAACCAAATGCATACATTTAGGTTTTCTTCGTCAACGTTACAACAGACACACACAGGCTGAATAAAGAGGACAGCATTCACAAACCGGTTGCTGTCGATGGTTGTGTCCTTGGATGGTGACATGCAGTGCTAGGACAATGTCTCAAGAGATCTCTGTTGTCTCTTGAATTCGTTTGCTGTATTGAAGCTAATTGGACATGCATTCAGGATAATGCTCACTCGTAGGCATGATTGATAAAGAGTTGGAGAATGCGAAAGACAGCAGATTGATTTAAGTACCGCCCATGTGCGGATGAAAGTGAAACCGGGGTTATGTCGGAGTCAAAACGGCAAAGTAGTATGCACTGTGACGTATTCCAGCAAGACAAAGTTGACCTTGCGACATATGTAGAGGCCTCTTCTTGAAATACCCAGATTCTGTTCTCCTCTCTTGGTGAACCGCTCCCATAATCTGAATGCCTTTAGGGCTCCATTCATCTGCCTGCCCGAGGACGTTGATGTTCTGTTATGTTCTGTTCCTACAGATTTGAAGACTTCCTGGAATGTTGATCTTACGCCCTAGACCATTATTCGCTTCCAAGTGTTAGTTTCCTTGACGGCGTTCGCCAGGCTCAGTGACTACTAGCACTGCTGGATTCCCGGCGCCACCCACCCACACCAATGCTCGCGGAGCCTCAGGCGGGAAGGGGGAGATTGAAGCCTCAAGGTTGTGGACATTGTTGCAGAACCTGGATGCTTGAAGAGTAGCATGGCCTTCACAAGCTCAAGACCAACGTCCTCGGAAAACAGCCGGCGAAAGTCCGCAACATAGTTCACATGCACTAAACCTCAGGAGTTTGATGCCCCTGCGAAGCAATGCAACTGGAATTCCCAAACTCTGAACCCTACCTGCTTCAGTTCTAAGCCTCGTAGTCTGCTGTTGTCCGCACTGTCAACACTCCCGGGGAAGAAAATCCCCAAGCACCTTGGACCCAAATTTCAATCAGGGCCCTCGTCAAGTCGCGCAGCTGTCCAGGGGTTGCTTCGAAGCCTCTGAGACCCACGATCAATTAGAGGCGTCGGATTTCAAGAGTCAGGGTTAGCGGTCAAGCTTTTCGGATTTAGGCTCCCATGGAGAGCCAGTCATTTCCCAAAATGACTCCATGTCCTGTGGCGATGCCAGAGTAGTACTGGGATCATACAGCTAAGGCTTCGGCTATCAGTTGTACAACTTGCTGCAAAAGATCTGTGCCAGCACCTGAATGTCCACGTAGGTAATTCTAGCTAAACAAGGTTTTGTGGGTTTTGAAGTAGTCCCATTCAGCGCTGAACTTTCACTTGTGCTTGAAGAGGTGCTACAAGGATTTTTCGGCGGTTGTGTATTTTGCAATTCGTTGTCCTTTCACCGTCTGTACACTAGGATGGTGCAGCTCTTCCTGGGATCCCAAAGCAATTCAAAGAGGAGCAGACCCTAGTTGTAGTTAGCCTACATCGACCTGCTCTGCGCAGGTTCCACACAACACCTTCCTTGAGCCTGTTCAGTCGGAGCTTCTGGCATATCCGTTTGTATAGACAGCCTGGCTCTGTCCTGAACAGGCCGCACTGAGCCTTTTAAATCTGCTGGTTAGTAGGGGATGAAGGCATAGCTGGAATGGCATTGATGACAAGTATAGTACGCAAAGGACCGCAACAACTTGCCAGTTCTTCTTTCCCTACTAGCCGGTAACCAGTTTCGTGAGAACCGTTGCGTAGACGGAGGAGGAGGTATGTCGGGGCTACGAATTGTCCTCGGCTTGGGGCTTAGCCACTACACCTCCCCCGTGGCTTGCAACGGCCCTCATGTTGTTGCCAATCTTCCTGCTGTTTGGGCAGCGCCTTTCGCTTTTAGAACTGCTATGCATGCTTTAAAGCAATTCTGCAATTTGTGCTGACGTGTTTGGAAATTCCAGTCAGGTTCGTGATTTCTTTGTAGCAAGCAGTCCAGACTGGTAAGGAGACAGCTAAAACAGATAACTGCAGATGCAGCTCAAAAGCACGCAACACACTGCGAAGGAAGCCCGGCAAACTTGTGTCTGACCCATGTTACAGAGAAACTGCAAAATACTTTTGGTCACAACGCAGTCTTGAGCAGACATTGTTGCTAAAAAGATCGAGGGGCGCCTTCGATTTGGTGTTGGATCCTTGACCCGTTCCCAGTTCCAACAGCGAATTTAGGACTGTTCTGTTCATGAGGCTGGCGTCCAGTGGGTGCATCTCACAATTTGCGGTCCTTTCTGTGGTCCCAGGCCTGTAGTATTCCAGGGGTATGCAAGGATACTGCACAACACCACGACACTGTATAGAGCCGCTTGCTCCAAAGGCAGAGCGGGACACGGAATACTGCAGCAGTCCGCATAAGGCATGAGTACCTGTCCCCGCGCTCATGCCTGAGGACAGGTAGGCAAAGCCAGCGAACCGTAGCTGAGAGGGGTGGTTTGGGTGGTGTGTACAGGTATGCACTTGTCCGTTTGTTGCAATCTGCCCACAACCTGGCTCTGGATCCAAAGGAAATGTCTCGTAAGACTTCCTGATGTGGCCAGCAGCTGCTGCTGTGAAGTCGGCACCGCAACAAAGGACAGTGTACTGCAGAGATTGTTTGCCTGCCTGTCAAAATTCGTGGCTGGGAATTAAGCCGTAAAGCAACCCCAGGGAATTCCGACTAAGACTTTGGGGAGCGTTTGTTTTTCCAGTTTTTGCAGGCGAAATTACACCAAGATGATTTTGAGGTTCACAGACATGGTCTCCTTGCACCCCGCGCGTCAAACTTGCACTTGTGCAACTTACAACAGTGGGCCTTCGAGTATCTTGAAGGCTGCAGAACGGCTGACCACTGCGGTGCTGCCAGCCTCCTTCGTTCTTTATCAATTTCCCTGATTGCTTTGGGTCCTGCCGCAATTTTGTAGGATTTCAAACATATTTTGACGAGCCCGCAGCACAGATGTCGACCCTTGCGGATTTCAGAGTTCACGCGAATCTGGGTATGTTTAGGCAGTTGTTGGCATTAAGTGAGATTCCGTGTGCACGAAGTGGTTGCGCTGTCTTTCTTTCGGCTTGTCTTTGAGGCGCCTTTTCTCACTGGCAAGCGTTCCTCTCGACTGAGATCTTCTGTCCGTGTGTAACGTTTGCTGAAACTCTTGTGCCTTTGCAGATCAGCGCTTCCTCCGAGATTTTGTCCTTGTGTCCGGTCATCGCTTAATGAGTGTACAGCTGTATTCGTGTCATTTTTTTTCCTGGAAGCCACCCCCACCCTTGAAGTGGAACCAGCCCTGGATATTCAAGCCCAAGCCCCTCAAATGTTTGAATACATGTGAATCTTATCATGCCATGTGACGAATCCTTGGCCAATGGCAAGACTTGATGCACAGAAGTTTTGAATATGGCCCTGCGCTCTTTGGTTCTATGAGCCTTCAGCCGTAACTCCGTCCCCGCGACCCTAAATCCTGAATCGCAAGCCGAAGAAGCAAAACCCTGCACCCTGAACCCTGATCCCGCAAAAATCCTAATCCCCCAAAACTAAACCTCATCCCCTGTTATCCCTACAGTCCCCGTAAGACTTGCGAATTGTAATCCCTTTTCATGACCCTGCAGGGCTTCTACAGTTCCTGCTTGCCCGAGGCTCCGGCAGCTCAGCCGGGCCACCATGGGCCCCTGGCGGGAACTTGGTGCTGCTGCCAGGGACTTACTGGTGTGATAGGTGTTTGGGGCGTGTCACTTAAGGGTTTAGATGGGTTTAGGGTCTGGGACTGAGACAGCGCACAAGAGGGTGAAGCTGAATCGGTTCTGGTATGACGTGGTTTTCTGGACTCCTGGTTTGCCGCAGGGGCCAGGGCCCTGTTACCGTCAAAGGTGGCACTGAATGGATTCGTGCTGCTCAAGCGCCAACCTTGAACCATGCGGGTGATCGACCCTTCCGTACTTGCATCGGTGCTTAGTAGGGAATTAGAAAATGGTTACCTGGTAGAGCCTAAACATACCGCAGTTGTGATTAGTCCGATAACATAAAAAAGCTTTGTCTAGGCTACACCTGATGAGCAGGGCTCTACGCGGGCCCGAGTTTTTCTGTAATTACCATAACTTTGGCTGCCGGCTTCTGCTTCATGAACAGGTCCCGAGCATGATGCTGTCCTTCCTAGGCCTATCATGGTATGGAGCTGGAGCGAGACGGCACCTTCGATCAGCCTGACCGGGCCTCAAGAAACTGCTGTACACTGAATTTCTCTGCCGAGCTAAAGAAGATGAAGTGCTATGGGAAGCAACCGTGTTGTAAGGATGCATGTGCCATGTCACAGTGTCACATTCTCCCGAGCCTACACGCCAGAATACCACGTCCTGGGCAAGCAGTGGGGCACGGGCTTCTCTTCTGGGCCTTCGTTCTGATGCTATGTCGATTGATCCTTTCAACAAAGTTCTGTTGGATTGAAGCTCCTGAAACCCGCTACTTCCAGTAAAGCTGCAGTCCACAACCTACGACTTCCTCAAAGAATAAGGATCAGTACAAAGATCAGAAGCAGGCTTCTTATTCAAATACCACTTATGTACAGCTAGCACCGCAGCAACGCCTTTGCGTCTGTGTGATTGCACAACCTGCCATGCATCCAACTCACAGGAGTCTGCTGACACCAAGAGCAAGACTAGGCATGGTCACTGCTAAGGGAATTGTGCTAAGTGAGTTGGATCTAATCATTCAGAGCGTTTGGGTTTGACGGCAGTTATGTAGTGTGAAGACGTTCGTTGTTCAGGATGCGCAAGATCAAGGTTGATGTTGGTCATCTGTCTTTTAGTCCAATTCCTTTATGTGGAGGTGCAGGGCCTGCAGAGCGCCTTGAGAGATTCAGCTGCAAAGCCTACGCGTAGTTTAGACTGATTCTGGAGTTCCAGCAACTCCGTAGACAACCGAGCCTGATGAAGACGTGAGCATGAAGAAGTCAGGGATTTCAGCCTATCAGCCTCTCCAAGTACATTTTCATGGACACGCGGCCAGTTGTTGAAGTGCCGCCTTCGGCTTGAAAACCGCAATGTAGTTGTGTTTGCCTGCCGCAGATCCTGTTCAGCATTCGCCAACAACTGGATTTTGGTGAGCTTCCTGCAGTGAACCTGGGCTCTGGGTCTCATCGAACGGATGCAAGTCGTTATGACCTCTGCCTACAAAGTTCGTTTCTTCGTTGCAACTACGACGGATCGAACACACCAGCATTCCTACTTAAATTCCCATCCTAATCTCCACTTCTTGACTTTGAATCTACTAATGAACAAATGATCTCCTTGCAAGATTCATCGACCGTGGGTACTGAGTAAGCACCGAGCCGCGAGCCAGGAATAAGCTGACGCGGGTAGACTGGAAGGGGCGGTTCCAGCACTTTAAGCACAACGTCGGGTCCCCAGTTGGAACCTTCTCATCTGCAAAAAATTCACCACTGAAAATACCAAGTAAAGCTTCTACATAGATGGGGTGTTGGCTCAGTAGGTTTGCAGCACAGGTCGTAAAGATGTGCGCTGCTACAAGCCCACCCTGATTGATACAACATGCCACTGGCCCCACATCTTCTACCTGTATCCCCAAACTGGCTTGATGTACAAGTAGTGCCTATGATTGCTTTGGG